GGTGGCGGGGTCGTGCCCCGATCCGAATCAGTCCAGGGGGCGTCATGCTGCTCAGCTTGCTCCTCGCCCGGCATCGTCACCACCGCGGGCTCCTCCACGTGGATTGGCGTGTCGACCTCAACGTTCGCCGATGGTCCGGCAGCCTCCGTCCTCCTCCTGGTGCGCATACTGTCTGTGATCGCCGTCTGCCGCCTCTTGGGTTCTTTGTACACTTCGCCCTGCAGAACAGCAAAAACTCTTTGCAAGTTGTCGACTGCCGACACACAACCTTCGAATGAAGGTGGCAAAGCATGGTAGCTTGCGCGCGCGGCGCGCGCAAGCTACACACTGACGGTCCTTGCTGTCGGCTACAAACTCGCTCCCGGCGATGCGTGGTGCCCGCCCCCCTTCGTGCTGCCTGTTCGTCAACCGGCCGACCAGGACACAGACAGATCGAGTGATGGACAATGGTTTCTTTCGACGTCAGCTGCTCCTCTGGCAGGGAGTTTGCGCGCGCGGCGCGCGCAAACCCCCTGCGTTTTGAATACCGTTCCGCTGCGTCGGGTCACTGTTGAACGCGTTCCAACTGTCCCGCAGCTGACAATGAGACCCGGGATGGCAGCATCGCGGCGGTCGGTGCTCGTTCGGTGCCGTTTGCGCGCGCGGCGCGCGCAAACGGCTACGGCTGGGACCCACGCGTTATTTCATCATATTCCTTTTTATTCCATTACTCATGTCTGACTCAAGAAACTGTGTCAGAATTGCGTCACCTCCCCCCCCCCTTCGCGCGTGGGCTCTTCGAAGGCTCTGGAACTTTCCACTGTGCTGCCGGATCCGCGCTGGCGCGGCATGCGCACGCACGCGAACTCGGGCGCGCGGGTGCTGCGGCGCCCGCCATGCGCGGGCGCTCCCGCCCCCTGTGCGCCGGCCTCTCGCCCCGCGCCGCATGCGCATCCACGGCGACACCGCCCCACCGCACCGCTCACCCTCCCCCCCCCATGCGCCCCCCCGCGCCCCACAGACCGCGCCGGCCCCCGACCCCCTTCGCTCTCTCTCGTGGGTCGCGCACCTTGGCCCTCCGCGCGAACGTCCTCTTGGGCGACATGGTGGGCTTGGGCGGCGGCTCTGGCTGCGGCGGGTTGGGGGCTATGCTGCGAATGGGGGGTGTCGCGGAATAAGTAGCCGACCGCGCAGGGTTGGTGTTGGAGGATCTTGACATTCGCTTTTTCGCAGATCTTGAGATTCGCAGGATCGACACGTCACGTCGTCGCGGAACGGTGGCGGGTATTTATGGAGACGCCCGTGGCCATTCGCTGCCAGTTGCTCCGCTCCGCCCCAGCCCAGGCCCACCACGCCCCCAATCGCCGATCGCAGCCGAATGGCGGACGGGCGCGTGAACCGCGGCTCCGCCCCTGACCGCCTCCCCAGCGGGGCGTGCCCCGAGTGGGTGGGCAGCCCCCCATGGGCCGTGACCGGCGCCGCCCCGGACGACGGGGCGGATGCGACGAGCCTCGCCGCGCGTGCGCGTGAGGCGGGGCCGCGCGCAGCGGCTGTGAGAGCGGCGGCCGCGGCGAGAGCGGCCGGGGCGGGCGGGGCCGGGGGCGTCGGTGTTGCCGCCCCGGCAAGGATGCCGGCCGGCGCGGCGGGCAGCACCGGCATGGCGCCCGCCCTGGCCCGCCCCCCCGGCCTCAATACCATGGCCGGTGGCCCGGCCCGCGCCCTGGGCAGCGCTGCCAGCGCCCCGCCGCCGGCGGCCAGTGAGTGGGGGCACGGGGCAGGCCCCTCGCGCCGGGCAGCCGCGGCCCCCGATCCGCCGGAGGCGGCGGCGCCACCCATCGCCCCCTCTGAGGAGGAACCTGCTGAGGGGGGGTGAGTAAGCCGGAAAGGGGAGAGAATAAATAAATCCATTTAATGGATTTTCCTAGCAATTTTCGATTTTTTTATTTCCTCTGTTTGCGCGCGCGGCGCGCGCAAAGGGTGTCTGCGGCTGCTGAGGGGGGGAGTAAGCCGGCAAGGGGAGAGAATAGAAAAAACATTTTTTTGATTTCTTTGGCAATTTTCGAATTTTTTATTTCCTCTGTTTGCGCGCTCGGCGCGCGCAAAGGATCCCCGAGTGGCCGAGGAATGCCGTACTGAGCGTGTTTGTTTGCGGTGGCGCAGGGACTCCCTCACCCTGAGGATGCGCGTCCCCTCCTGGGGGGACGTTTGGAGATGCGCGGGGCGGTGGGACGAGCACGGGCGGACCGTCCACCCTGCCTGCCCCTGGTACAAGGCCGCCGTCACCCCCGCCGAACTCGTCTTCGGCTGCAAGGCCTGCTGGCTCAACAAGGGCCGGCGGTGCTGGGTGACGGCGGGCCCCCCTCCCACCGGCGCGGAGCCCCGCGGCCCCGTGGCCGCCGCCTGTGCCGCCACCGCAATGGTGGGCCTGGCGGTGGGTGGGTCCGCCCGCGCCCTGGGTCGGTGCCGCCGGGGCCCGCGCAGCGTCCCCGTTCCCCCTCCGCCATGGCCACCTCCAAGGGGCGGGTGGACTTGCGGAGGGAGGCGTTGCGGCGGGTGCGAGGGCGGCCGGCGTGGCAGCGGAGGGCGGCGGTCGGCCGTCTGCTGAGTTGATCCGGCGGGGGGGCGCCGTTGACCACGTGGGCAGCCCCGGCCTCCTCGACAACTTCATGGAGCGCTTTCGGCAGGCCGGCGGGCGCTCCGCTTTGCGGGGGGGGTGGAGATGCGGTGGGATGCTCCCCGCCGGCCTTGGCCCGAGCACGCGCCGTGCCGGCCGCCAACCCGCCGGGTTCAGGGGGGCCGGGCGGCCCGGGCTGGTGGTTTGGCAGAGGGGGGTGAAGGGCGGTGGGGTGGGGAGGGGGGGGTACCGGGATGAGGTGGATGGCAGGGGAGAGTGGATGGCAGGGGAGAGGGGTGGCGTGTGTTCGCCAAGAGGCAGGCGCCAGCAAGAGGGGCGGCGCGGCGGGTGGTAGGGGCGGGTGGTAGGGGCGGGTGGTAGGGGCGGGGGTGGGGGGTGGGGGCTCTTGGGATGTCATGCACATTTTTTGTAACAACTTTTTGGAGATTGTGATGTACATCGCTGAACTTGTGTTGTAAATGCGCGCTGCCTCTCCTGTTTGTTGTGTACTCAAATACAACAATATTTCGCACAAACACGTCCATTTTCAGATGTCCAGTCCTGCGCACAACCGTTTCGCCAAAATAATCACATAACAACAACGTTGCGCACAAATGCTCCTATTTGGACCTTACCAACATTTTGCACGAAAGGTTGTTAGGCGGTGGTGCTGGCGCCCGACTGGCCGAGCGCGGTGTGGTTTCGCCCGCTCCGAGCGATCGCCCGGGCGGAAATGTTCATTCCCCGCCAAGCCGACCTTTTTCTCCCCGGCGACCCGAGTCTCCCGGCGTCCCTTCCCCCCCCGCGGTGGAATCTCCGGGCGTTCCATGTGTGCCCGCGCGAGAGGACGCCGCGCCATCTGAGACCGAATCGGAGGAAGAAGTGATTCAGTCGGAGGCCCCGCCCGCCCCGCCGGAGGCGCTGCCGGCGGACGACATTCCCTTGGAGCCGCTGGCGGAGGATGACCCGCTGTACGGCACGGACCTGGACGGCCTGCTCCGCGACGATCGCTGCTGGATGGAGCACCAGTTCCTGCAGTCCTACACGGAGGCCACTCGGCGGACTCTCCAGGCCAAGTTCTCGCGGTTTCAGCGTTTTTGCGAGGCGCACGACCTCGCCGCGCTCCCTGCCCGGCGCGCCTCCATCTACCGCTACATTCGTTTTCTTCGGGAGGAAGGCAAGGTGGGCGTGCGGTCCCTGCCCCAATATCTGGCCGCCATTTCAATGATGCACCACATCGCGGGTCATCTGGGCTTCTCCGCCTTCGACCCGGTCACCCGCATCCTCACCCGCGCTTGGCGACGGGCGGCTCCGGCCCCAGTGCAGCATCGCCGCCCGGTCCCCATTTCTCTGATGCTCCGCATTTTGGACGTCGGCCTGACCACCGAGGACGGGGCCACCCTTCGGCCGGCGTGCGCGGCCCACCTTGCCTACATTTTCTTCAACCGGGCCCAGTCGGGCCATTACATTCTGGTCGACGACGTCCGCATCGACGAGGAGGTCATTGTCTTCCGGGAGCGCAAGATCAAGCTACGCCCCGGGGAGGAGCCCCGGTCGCGCTACCGCTCATGGCCTTCTCGCGGCGCCCCCGAAGTCGTCGCCCTGCTGCGCCGGTGGACGCAGTTCCGCGATCACGCCTGGGCGCAGACGGATCAACCGCCGCGCCATTTCTACCGCCTTCCCGGCGACGCCACCCCTTCGTCCAAGACCGTGGCCTCCTGGTTCTCGTCCCTCCTCGCGCACTTTCCGGACCTCGCCCAAGAGCCGTTCACGCATCATGGCCTGCGCGGTGGGGGCGCGTCCAGTTGCTTCGCCTTGGAGGTCGCGGAGCGGCATATTCGGGATTGGGGTGGGTGGAAGTCAGACGCACTGTGGTCGTACATAGATATTTTTCGTTTACCCACTGAGTGGGATTTTCGGTTGTTCGGATGGATGACCATCACCGCCCGCGACCTACATGAGCAGTTCGGGCACATCTTCTGCCCCGGAGGGGCCTCGAGTTCCCGTAGAGTGACTGGGCAAGTTTAAAGGACGGGAACCTCGGGAATGTGAAAGTTAACGGTGTTTGTAATTATTGTCATGGGGATACATGACGGGGTGGGCTCAGGAGACCGGTAAGGCAGAAACAGTGGATAGGGCCGTGTACAGTGTAGTAGTCCATAATGTGCTGAAATGGGACAGGAACACTTCAGGGAAGACAGGAGAACGAACTGGTGGGCCGCTGCTTCAAGCCGCGACGAGCCATGGAAGAAGAAGGCCAGCGGGAGCGCGGGGCGGCGGCGTTGGCCGTTCTGGCGGTGCTGTTCGCGATCAATACGACGCACTGGATCGTCAAGCGAAAAAAGGTGCCCATGGCGAACCGCCGGATCTGGCCACGTTTTCGTCCAGGTCGCAAAGTTGGTTGCTCGCTTGGAGGCCTTTGCATCATCATCTGCAGGATGGGCATGAGTCCTGGGAGTTTCTTGCGGATGGTGGGGGCGGGTGCCTTTTGTACGGCACGTCCTCCTTGCGATGTCCTGCCTCGGCGGCTTTCGCCGCCGTCGAACTGGGCGCAAAAGACCTCACGCCGCGAACCCGCGGGAGGGAACGGCAAGTGCTGGGTAGTTGCGACGTTTGTCCAAAAGATTCTGGGGCGCCTGCTCGCAGGCTGCGCATCGGATCGCACCCTGCCTGCCGTGTGGTTGGGCCTGGGGTGGGAAGGAGCGGATGAGAGTGAGGATTTGCGCGTCTCGATGGGCACAGGCTGACGTTCACCAGACGCGTCGTTGATGTTGCATGGATTGTTAGCCACCAGAAATAGCTCGAGAACCAAGAAGCCAAGTAGGCCCACTGTCAATTTGTTATAGTTCTTAGCTCCCCCAGTGCCAAGTTTATTGGTGGGATTTACCCAGCCAAAAACTGAACAAGTCCATGCCCGCCTACCTGTTAAGTATCCTTATCGTGATGCGTGCCTCAGCTGCTTATGCATGTCCTCCAAACAGTTTTCAAGATAGTTGGCAATAAGTGTGTGAGCCTTGGGGTATCAGTTGTGCAGTTTCAGCATGCATGCATGAGAATGTACTTAGCAAAGCACAAGGCAGGAAGGCAAGCGCATCTCTTGGCCCACAAGTTGTTGCGACGGCCATGTAAGACACATGAAGAGATTGAGAGTGCATTCATATCCGCACTGCTGGACGTACAGGGAATACCCATTTTGGAACTACTATCAATAATCCTGCAAAGGCCAAATAGCACCCATAGTCTGTTGTCATGGCTTCCACAGAGTTCCTTATTGGCCCATTGACGTCAGCATAGATGACCATTGTCATCACAGGTAACAGTTAGGGGTAGGGTGGGGGGGTGGAGCGGGGGAGGGGGTGAGGGGAGCAGGCGTGCTGCGGGTGATATGCAAGGGAGTGTCTGAAGAAACCATCAATAGGGCTCAATGCAGAGGCAAGCAGCAGTGCGCGGGGACAAACAATGGACTTGTGTTCTTGGGGGCTGGGTGGCGTCATAGCCCATGTTGGCTGACACACTGTTAATGGACATTTCAAATCAATTCATTGTTATCGCAGGAAAGGCAGTGGAAATGCATGCACAATTTGCTATCAGATGGTCCTTTACAATGGTGTGCCTTCTTTGGGCAACGAGAATGGAACCTTTCACATTCATGACACTGCATTCATTGTACACCAAATAAACTATCCATCCTTATAAAGCACTTAACCATGCGTGCATTGGCCACGCTGGAGGAGGCATCGAATGGGGTTAAACGGAAGTGTATAAAGTGAAGAATCGGTGCGAAAAAACTCGTGGCTGTGTTGCAGTTTTGACACAGCCTTAGGATTTGTGAGTGGGAAGGTGGCAAACAATGCACTGGTGCGTTTATGGACTTGGTGTGGCTTTGTGCCCTTGCCCTGGAATTGTTCGTGGCTCCCACGATTTCTTGATGCACAGAACTTGCATGTGGATTCCATTGAGTACATTTGCCAAAAGCACATGGGAAATATACGCTTGCGACTGAAAGGCGATGTTCGATAAAACATTCTTGCAGCTGAAGTTTGTTGCTTCCCTGTACATAAATTCACGTGCCCATATGCACCAAGTGCATGTGGGACAGCACATAGAGTTTCCTCCACACACCTTCTCAAACCCTGTTTCTGCCCCAGAGACTCCCATCCTGGCAGGGACCAACAATGTACAGGTGACATCATGGCTACATCCTGCTGTGTTCAATCACCCCATCGTCCTGTTGCCATATTGCAAATTGAATTGTCACATTCATTCTTATTGCTGTTCGTAGCGCTGACTGCAAGTGCTACAATGCTGCTGATGGAATCATCAATATCAGGCACCTGGTTTGCTTCCTGGTGAACGGCACTGACGTTGTTATGGATTGTGCACCAGGAGCACAGAGTCATGGCAATGGCGGAGGCCCTCTTGGCCGAGATTCATGGCCTGAGGCGAGATGCAGACAGGCTGAGTGGGCCTGACACGTTTGTGCAGAGCGCCAAAATGCAGCGGAGTGCCAACGCCAAGGAGAAAGAGCTCGCAGGACTATGGGAGGACCACAAGGGCTCTGAAAATGCAGGCGTACTGTGGTGGATGAGCATTTTGAGGGTGCGAGTCAACAGCCAGAATTGCCTGTTTGTGCGATTCCCATTCTGTTGACTGCACAGCGTCCTGCAGTAGTTGATGCACAATGTGCTGGGAGGGAACCTCGTGTATTCTTGACTGTGTTTATGGGGTCGCCATTCAGCAAACGATGCACTAATTCTTCTTGTTCTCGTTTGTGTTTGTTGCTTCTTTTCAGATGTGTGCTTTCAGGGTTCCTTTGCAGTCTTGAAGTGCCATCGCCACGTCCAGCATCCGCCGTTTTGCATAACGTTCTTGCTTATCACATGTTGATGCATGTTGGTATTCTTCATGAACAGAACACTGGCGGCTATGCGCTAATTCTCCAGTAGAGAGGCTTTCAAGCCCATTTGTGCAAATTGACGTGAGCGATCCTCGTTGGCGCCACTGGGAGACGTTAATGCTGTTTGGCGTCCTGGATGGCTTTCCTCTGAAGTTCAACGAGGAAAATTGATGATGCTGGATGCATCTGCAAGTTAAAAAGGGAAGAAAGCATCATGATAGTCTTTGAGGTCCATCATTGGTCGAGATGACCGCCCTTTGCCGTGTTCTGACGGGCGACTTGTAGACCACATTCTGTATCATTCGCACCATTTTCCATAATACGGAAAGAATCTGCCGGGCTCTGCTCAGGAGGGAATGGGGACAGTGCACAGACATCTTTGCAATTCTGCTTTGGTTGCAGTCACATTAGCTTTAACAAGCACTGTCTCTGTTGGTGAGGAGCCCGTTTCCTCCCTTGATCACTTTTTGATAATCATGCGTACTATACTGCATGGCCAGCGCAATGATGCAGCCTGTTCACCCGTTTTCTTCTGTTGTTCCGACAGGCCGTCGCAAGCATCACATTCGTGTTGTGGCTGTGGAGTGTTAGGCTCGTATGCCTGGACGAGAGTCTCGTGTGGCCTGTGGGGTCTTTCCTGAAGTTCCCCCAGTACAGCAATCCACAAGGATCCATCACCATCATTCCGTGGATCATCGCCTGCGACCGCGCCAGTCGGGCACTCCTGCAAGTTGTGCTTCCCATGAAGGTTGTCGGAAGTAAGGCAGCCCTGTGGAAGTAAAGCACCAACGTTTTCTATGCTGCCTGCATAGGTGAAACGCATTTGTAGCGGACTATAGGAATCGTCGCGCTATCGGGATATTTCTCGGGCAGGAAATGTCTGCCCTCTTCCACTGCCAGACAACCGTAGGTGATTCACAAAGCTGGACATTCCTCACCCGTGCCGAAGTTGCTTGAACCGAAAAGCGAATGCTTTGTGCTGCTGCCAGCATGAGCAGAGCAACAGACTTCTGCTCCATGCCTTGGCACCATGTGGGCGAATGTGCTGCCAATCCAGCCCCTGTTGACAGGCAGCGGCAATACTGCAGTGCACATTTGCTCACTGCTTCAGCATTTCCACTTGGAATCGCGCTTGAGACGGAGCAGCGCGAAGCAGAGTGTAACCCCTGCAGTTCCACGTGGCCCATCGTTGCCACGTCAAGTCTCTCCACCAGGGTTGCAGCTCTGCCAATTGAAACTTCACACGAGACCTGGGGTTTGCGAATTGCAACAGCTTGGCAAGAGCATGGCACCGCCCTGCCAACAGATTGAAACAACTGTGAGAAGTTGAGCTGACTGTGGGACGCTCCATTGTCAAGATGCCACCTTCTTGGACCCATAGATCTGCTACGTAGTATATCAGTAGGGCCACCTCTCTGACATGCTTGTCCTGCCAACGCTTTGGTGGTCCTTTTCACATGTCCATGCCCCCCGCTGGGAGCAACCCCGGTTGATTTATGTTAGGTGAAGTCAACAGTGGCCTGTTGTTTTTCACCTTCACAATACACGCGCCCCAATGACCGCCCTGGGAAAAATGCAAAGATTGTGCCACTACCTCATCCGCTTCCACTTCCCCTGCAAGGTGTATGTCCCTGAAGAACAAATTTTCCAATGACTCTCTGTATTTTGAACGTCCCCAGGCCCCTGTACCCAAGATAAACCATGTGCGACGCCGTCATGACGTCCTCCACCAAGAACCACTGTCGCCAAAAGAGGAGAGATCCTCGCCTGCTGCATTCACATTCCGCTACTGCAAACCTGAACAGCCAGTCGGCTTTTGGCAAAGACACGAAGCGATGCAATTCCTCGAGCTCTGCCCAATACAGGTAGTTTTGGCGCTTAGACATGCCAAATTCAACTGTCGTGGTCACCTTGGGCAATTGGGGAATAATTTCACCGATTCACCTTCGAAATCGTCTTTTTTTCTGTATACACTCGGTAATCTCCACATGGACGGCATCATCAACATACATGCGGATACACCGATTTGCTGAAGCTCATCCATCAACTCTGCCTGTATATATGCTCCAATACGATCACGAGCGGCCAAGAGCGAGGCCCTCTTTCGGCTGCTCCTATTCCTTTTCTCTGTTCACCGGGGGCTCGAGCAAGCCCTGTGACAGAATGGTTGTGCCCTCTAAACTTTCACCCACCTCCATGTGGAATGGCGGTGGTGGGACCGTTATGGCTGGCGCTGTGTAGCCAAAGGGAGGAGGGGGCCGGTGCATTGAACGCTGAGGTGGCAAGAGCGGCTTACGCCTGGGCTTCTCGCTTGGCAGTAGCTTTTGTTCGCCTCTCCTTCTGCCTCTGCTTCTTAACCTGCTCCCTGTTGTGCCTAACCACCTGCACGTTCCCAGCACGCATGGACCAACTGCCAGCATCGCTGTAGGTGCCACCTCGATATTTCATGCGGGATCGCTCTTTAAGGCCTTCCTTTGACGTCCGAAACACTGGCGAAGACTATATGGGCTGCCAAGGATCCCAAACTTCAGACTCAACAAAAATGCTGTGTGAAGCATTATCCTGACTCATGGACGACGGCATGGGACGACAATCGTTTTTTCCTGTTGTGTTGTATTGGAACTGAACCATTGAAAGAGTAGGAATGCAGCATCCACCCATCATACATTGGTGAGTAAATTGAACAACAGTTTCAAACTAGATGAGACTGCATGCTTTGGGCTTGCTGCTCAGAATTGACAAACACTATCTTCCATATGCAATCAAAGTCTCCACAGCATGCCAGACTTTCAGGATTTCAGATATCTGGTGATGCTGCCCATTCTCAATATGTTCGACTTAAAAATGAGAGCACAGTCTTTGACACATTGCTTGTACTTATATGTTGATGGTTGCGATGACATTGCCGGCCAAGATGTTCTGCAAATAGTGCCTCACACTGCAGACCGATAGTTGTATCTAGGGCAATTGTTGGCTTCAGCAAATCCGCAGAAGATCAGATGGATTGCGAATAGCTCTCTAGCAGTAGTGCCCCATCTTTCTCAGCACAGAGACAACAAGCAACTGCCATCGCACATTATTCTGCATCTCAGCATCTGCTGTGTGGGAGCCTCAGCCCTAGTTCATCTTTCGACTGGCTAGGATATCAACCAGGCACATCTCCACCTCTTCCACTGAAGGCCTTTTGTCTGGCCTTGCAGAGCAACAGGCACGCATCAGTTCTGACACCACAGCTGGCCATTTATATCCAACATCTTCAGGGATGCGGGATGATTCCTCGGCTTCAAGCTTCGCTCTCATGATGCTTGCTTCAGTTGATTCCTGCCCATAGGGAAGCTCCTCCATCACAACCTCGTACATAACGGCCCCAAAGCTGAATGCATCAGACTCAAAACTTGCGGCCTTGCCATCATACATCTCTGTCACCATCCAGCGTCCCGACGTTAGTTTGCAGGTTTTGGGGCAAGTTCAAATGCCAGACCCAGATCAGCAACTTTAACAACACAGTCATGAACACTTGCCTTGCCTTGCACTTGCTTGGAGCAGAAAGTTGTTGCTGTTCACTTTTATATATCCTGCCATGTAAGTGCACTGAATGTAGAGCTGCAGGAGCCTGTGACAGCACTCAGATCTTCAAGGGGACAGTGTTAACACCTGAAAGGTTCTGGTACCACTGCCTCAAGTTGCACTGTGCCATTTCCATCTCGACTGCTCCAGTCATCGTTATCCCCTCCAAACAGACCATATACCGGCTGTCCAAAAGTGCATGGCTACAGGCTTCGCTGTACAGTGCGGCAAAGTCCTGAAGCTCCACCTTACATCCACCTGTCCAACCACTTGCTTTGCAACAACCTTGGCCTACTGCACTGTGGCTGTGTGCACGTCTGCACCAATTTCGTCTCCCCACGCGATATCTTTCACATCGAGAATGCGCAACCAGCTTATCTGCCTATCCACAACTCCAAACTTTACATTGTACCACGCGCATCTCAGACGTTCATTAACACCTCGCGATTTCCAGGGGGTGTCACTGAATACATGGCCCAAGTATTCGTTGACCTCTGCACGTTCCTGCTGCACGGCTTCTGGTGGTACCCTTGCAGTAAATTCATACCACACTGCAGGGCCATTCTTCTGCAAAGGAGCTGACTGCCTGCAAGGTCCGCTTCACTACTTGAACTGCGTCCACTGCCCTGTAAAGGACTTCGATACTGCGATATGAGTGCCATTTCAACACTTGCATTGCAAGCCTCAGATTGTATGCCAGCACAGCCATAGCTTCCCTCCATTCTTTTTTTTTGACCAAACTTCGATGCTTGAAGCGAAAGACCGGAAAGACACGCCGTCATTTTCAGCAGGGTCATCATATCCCAGCCATACATCAAATTCCCAACTTCTCCAAAGTATCTGATGACATCTCAGACCTGGTTCTCCAAATCTGAAACTTGGGTACATCCACATGTGTTGTCAGAATAATCAATTATTTCGAAGCACTGCAACGCACCATTGTGCACACACAAAAATTGAGACTCAACAAGGCCTGATGAAGCGGGTCCGGTGAATCCTTGAGAGGCAATGCTCTCACAATGTTGCGCAAAGCAACCGCAGTTGTTGCATACGAGGGTCCCGCCCCTGCCAAGAGACAAAAAGGGCCAGAGCCCTCCAAATGCAGGTGTGGAAGAAACAGGCATCGCACAACCTCACACCTCGCACCTGCCGGTGCTAGTGCAAACAACTGCGATTCATTTGCCAAATTTTATGGGCAAGCCGTATGGAAATCTATTGTGTATCCCTGCCTCAGCACTGTCGGTGAACTCCTCATCCACCACAGTGAAGTTCAGTGCTGCGCAGTGCTCAACAAAGTCCATACCCCCACGGAATATTGTGGCACCAGCATGTTGTGGCTTCTCTTTAAACTGCTGAGCGGTAAGTGCATTCGGAAGTTCCGCCTGCTGGCGCAAGGAGTGCTTCATCATGTCACTTGCTAGGAACATTCAGCCCCATCACAAGAGTCACTGCCAGATCCAAGAGGAGGACATTGCAGCCAGTCATGTTCTTCATGCAGCGCATCTTCAATGGAATTGCTGTGGATCAGGAAAACCGCCTTGGCAGGAATCAAAGTTCCGTCCCACTACTATTGTTAAACAAATACTACAACAGGCATTGCAGTGCCTGCATTTGCAGCAGGGCCGGATACAATGTAAAGATATTGTTGTATAATGTTAGACCATTCTGCCAATGCATGATGCCAGCAAGACAGCAGCCAACTTCCTTTCTTGGACAGCGATAGAGACAACCATTACGATCACAATTGTCGCCAACAGACAAAAACCAGTCTGTTCCACCAGTGAGGTGGTGGCAATGGGCACTGTGCCCCTCCACATGCCGTTCCTTTCCCAAAGGCAATCGTTACTTCGCTGCCACCATCAAATCTTGCAGAGGCATGCAGGCAGTCAACAGCTCACTTGAGCTGGGAAGATGGCAGAGCCTTTGCGCAGTTCCAGGAACGAGATCACTGTGTCATCCGCACCAGCGGCCATTCTCATGAGAAAAGCACCCAGCCAATTTTGCTGCCGACCCAACCAAGTTCTATTGGCTGTAGCGCATTCGTAGTCCGCTTTCGCTCTATTCTCCAAATATAGTGAAACAGGCCTCTGAGCCTCATCATTTGCCTGCAGCAGCAACAGCAGGCACAGTGGCGTTGGCTCCCCACCATATTGCACTTCACATTTCTATGAATCTGAACAATTTATTTAGGAGTGAATTGAGCGGTGAACAGGT